TGATGTTAGTAATTAATCAATAAAATTTATGAATGGCTAATATCGCTTCTTAGCATCTAGAGTTTATCGGTTCTCAAAGAACAGGTATAATTTCGGTTTCTCGTGATCTTTTAGAAGCTAATTTTTCTCGATTTTAATAACTGAAACTTCCGTATTCTATTAGGTTGTCTTATCAATGATAATAGGCACTTCATCTCAATAACAATCAGATGTGATCATGTTCTTACTTATTTTGTTAATGAATCAATACTGGTATACGTCTCTTGTTTCGATATTACCATAACGGAATAAAAAACATCGATTCCTATTTGATGAATTGTTGCATCAAATGACTCAAAGTTTGTAGCACATTGTCGAAGTAAAGACAATGATTCTGAATTCTTTAATTCTTGCTTTGTTTGAAATTCATATCGTAATAATAGTGCTTGAAATCAAATTTTCACACGATTGGCTTTTAAGAATAAATAAATTTATTTTCTACTTACATTTTAAATAATGAAGAATTCTATTAGCTTGCATCGATCAGAGCTGCCGGCCTGGCCTGCTGCCTGACAGGCGCCTGGCAGGTCCTCAGGCCGTCCACCAGGCCAGGCCGAATTCTGAAATTTTAGCCTGGCCTGATCCGTCCAAATAATATTCGGCCTGGTCTGCAGGCCAGGCCAGGCTGAAGTTGTTGGCCTGCAGGCTAGACCAGATCAAAATGATCAGCTTGTCCATGTAAAAATTTTAAGAAAATTTAACGATTTAACGAAAAGAAGGCATCACATTTTTCACTATTAATATGTGCTAAACGTTCTTTTTAACAAATCTCATTTGTTAATTCAAGCTAAACTGTTTCTGTCGAGATAGAATGTGTGGAATTTCGTTAAAAGCCAATTTTTAACGTGTTTTCAGATATATAACCGTAATATCTTTTCTCGTTAAATCACAGAATACTTATTCACTTTTACTTGAGTAGTTCCTAAATGTTGAAGATCAAATATTGATGCATGGTCTTATTATTCGAAACTGATTTAACAAATTCATGCGATTCTAGCGGTCAAAACTTGTACTGAACATTAATTTAATGTTATAGGATCTGTATTCACTCACAGAAGGGCTTGTTTAGATTCAGAACAAATGGATAATAAATTTTGTGATCGTGTATTCATAAAATTTGATTCTTAAATAAAAATCTCGTTGCCTCCCATCATAAGTAACACTCATTGACGATATTTTGTTCTGTATTTTCTTTACCTATTCATTCTACGCTTCGTCATATGTTGTTTAGTTATCATGGATATATTTTTTCGAATAATATAGAACAGATTTGCTACAATCGAAGACATTTTGTTAATTGAAGCCTTTCTCGGACGGTGTGTGGGTGTCAAAAAGACCTAGACAGATTAACATCCACTCACACACTATAGAAGTATCCTTTCTTCAAAATGGCCGACTCCAACAGGTCTTAGTATGTTGAAAAAGAGACCTATAAGCTAAACAAAAATCTGTTGACTCACCATTGAAAGCATTGTTTAGGCTTTTCAACAAGTTCCTCACTACACTTAAATAAAAATCAGTATAAGATATGCAAATTCATATTCGAAGTTTGCAGGCAATATGAATTAGACCAGGCCAGCCGCAAAAAAGTGGTCTGCCGGCAGCTCTGATTAGTACAGAGTTATTGAATTTAATGGATTTCAAAAATCAGAAACATCAATCGGCCTAGTTTGACCAGCAGGTCAGGCCAGGCCAGGCCGCAGGCCACTCTGTGGTTTTTGGCCTGGCCTGTACGCTAGGTCAGGTCAGGCAGCAGGCCAGGCCAGGCCGGAAAAAAGTGGCCTGTTGGCATCTCTGGTATCGATTGATTTCTATTTAATGTTTTTAAAAAAGAATTCATCAGAATAAATACTAAATTTTCAATATTATCTTCATCATATGAATTAAACTTGATTATTAAACAACAAGTATAAAATACAGCATCATCATCTTGTTCCGAACAGAGAGAAACATCACTTGTTAATTCATGAAGAAATGGAATAATAATTTGAAAATATAAATAAATGTTTAATTATTATGTCAATTAAATGATAATTTTGTGAATCTTTTGATCGAAGAAGAATACAAGCAAATCGATTGAGTAAGATCGTATATAAATTTAATTCTTCTTCATTAATAATTTGATCATTTAATCAAATAGAGAATATTGTTAGAAAATAATCAATAATAGTTATTTTATAGGGCGTCCACCAATCAACAGCCAATTGACTTGTATTTTCAAACCATTGAACAAATGATTGAAGTTGTGATCGACTTATAATCGTTTGCCAATGATGTTCATATGATGGTTTCAAATTTGCCATATAATGTAAATAATTTTTCAGTATTATTCGTTGTTCAGAAGTGATACTTACACTTGTTAAATCTTCATTGAAATGAATTGAAATAATATATTGTACAATTGAATTTATTAATTGTTCATGGATAGAATTATGTGGTATATTGTCAATTTCTTTATCATGTAATCGATAAATAGCTGCAATCATTGAATCGACAATTGATATAAAGAAAGAATTTTCTATGTGACTATTTGTTATATCATTAAGATAATCACAAAGTTCATCAATAAAAGATTTTTTCAAGAAGAAATTTTTGAATATATGAATATTTGTATTTGTAATACCAATTGATAATCGACATAGAAAAGCATTTAATTCTGATAAAGGTTTTAGTTGATTAATATTGTGTGAAGTATGAATTAATTGTCGACATTCTTTGAGAAGTAAACGATAATACATGAAAAGTTTAGAAAATACATTATGAGAAAGAATGGTTGCAGAACATAATAGTAGTCCATGGTAAGAATTTAAAGTATTTACAATAGGTACTATTGTTTCATTAACGTTCGTATCAAGACTAAGAGGTAAATTCAATGAATTTAAAACACTTCGTAGATTATTAACTGATTCAGTAGAGACTGAATTTTGTCTTATCATACTTTCTTCATTGAATATCAATACAACGAAAGTTCGCGTCGTTTGTAAGAAATTCCAATCAACAATAATATCTACAAGAAAAGGAAAATGCGATAGTTGTTTTTATTTCTTTGTGAACATCGCTTTTTTTCACATGAATTTATTTTTCTTCTAGTTTAAAATCAGTAACGGTTTTCAGCGGTAACGAAAGCTGAATGTGAGAAAGATTTTTGAGAATAACGAAGAAGAGAAATAATTCTTTTCGTTGAGTCACTTTTCTTTAGTTATGACTATACTACTGAGTTTTTGGTGTTTAAAAAATTATTTCAACATTTTGTCGAATCAGATATTGTAAAAAATATGCATATGATAATAAGTATCGAATAGATATCATAAAAATGTTCATTTTTTTTGCCTTGATTTTGTGGTATCAATGCAAGGACATATAGGAATTAGAAAGTTTAATTTATATAGGATTTTTCTCTTAATTATAATACTGGCTTTCCCTAAGATATGTCTTAGAAAGTTTATGAATCCTACAAAAGCACCAGATACTGACATTGTAACAAGTAAAGACATTTCAAACGCATCTACATGAGGTTTTTCTTGTTACCAACCATAGCATATAAATACAACTTATGTTTAAATACCGAGTGTCCCAAAATGTTGAGTTATAGCACTATCAGGTAGATCTTTGCTTCAAGTCCCTTTTTGAAATGTAAACTAAATTTTATTTATTTATTTTGGTTTATTGAAAAACACACTATAGAATTAAATGAAGACGTCTTTATATATGTATAAAGGGTCCGTTGAAATTAGAGAAGGCAAAAAAGAAGGGAGAAGAAAACTACAATAAAGAGAGAAGCCGAGACGCACGAGAAAAGAATAGCCATGCAAAACAATATGATCTAGTGTTGTCAAAACAGACCATAAAAACTATTTAGAGAAAAAATTATGAGAACAAGTCAATAGATATTTCGTTATATAGATTTTGTAGGACTCTCTATAGTACATCATTTAACAAAAATATTCAACATCTTACACTTTTTTCATACTGAGATGTATGAAAAATAAAAAATGTGCAAATATTTTGAGTCTCTCCGTATATTTGAATTAGTTCATATTGCGTTCAGCATTTTTCATGCGAACTTTGAATATTTTTGAGCTGGAGCATGTTCATTCAGTTTCATATCAGCTAGAAAATGCATATGAAAAAACAAACTTCTGCTTGACGTCAGACGGGATTGAGTAAAGTATTACTAGACACTCTTAATTGAAGATATGCGGTGACATGTCCGATCACATGTGGTTTCTATTTTCGGATACGTATTTCAATACAGCGAATAACTCTTTATTTTAGTTTGAAAATATACACGAGTACGACACAACAGAAGAATTCGACTATTTTCATTGAATTCATGACTAATCTTGAGAAATTTTTAGGATCTATTCAGAACATTCTACTATAACTTATTGTGTTGTCGATATGAATGATTTCCTTTTCTGATATAATTTTTTAAATTGCAAAAAAAGTCTATTTAATATCAACCTGATCATCTTGATGAAAAATGAACAACGACCAATTTATGCATTTCTTCGCTACTAACTGTAGTTTCTGTTAGAGATACTGTTGACAATGATAACAGTTATACATAGAGTATTTTTAACTTAATTTTGTAGCGTGTTTTCATCGTCAAAATTGTAATATCTGTTATTATTTACATCGTTAATTTTTTTTACTATTTTTACATGGGGACGATTAGAAAAAATGAATTAAAAATAAGCAGTTTTACAAAAATAAAATATTGTTGGTACATCTCAAACGAAATGTTTTATTCTATATAGACATTTTCCTCTGTTTATAAATAAAATAATACTGTGTACGTACATGTAATCAATATTACAAAGATATAATTAATTACCAATTATACTTATTTCTATCTTACATCACAACCAGACATGTAAACTTATTTTTTGAATAGTATAATATGTCTATAGGTTATTCACTCTTTTACGTACCTGCAGATAACTGTTAACTTGGAAAAAAACTGATTATTATTATTTCAGTTGGTAGTGTTGTACATCGAAGAGTAACTTTTTCTTCTTTCTTTCTATACAACCCGTTTCATCTGAACGGAAAAATAAAAAGAAAGAAAAGAAAAACGTCATGAAAGTTTTGCGCATACTTCTTAGGCCATAAAAGATGCTCTAAGAACAGACATACAAAAATAATTTTCTAGTTTTGCAAACAATTTTATTGTGTTATTTTTTCAGTGTCTCGTAAAAACAATGAGTCTGTGTTAATATTTTGTCGTAATTACAAGCAAATAATAAATAGATCAATCATGAATTGCTAAGCATAAAAAATTGACGGTTGAAAAGAATATTCTATCTTTCACAATACATCGGAAATACTTTTTCGTTAATCAGCAAGTTATTTTGAGTCGAGCTATTTGACGATAAGTTTAATTGGATGTTTGTATCGTATTATGGTGAATGGTGAATCGTGCGCTTATGCTCATTCGCCACATCATTCATAAATTTCTCTAAATATTCACAACTTTATTCAATAATTACTTGCGTATAAGTATTGCAATAGAATCGAGATTAGAAAAACAAAGTTTAACAAAAAGAAATTTTTTTTTGTTTGAATAGTTACCATATCTTTATTCAGAGATGCATGAATTTCAATTGAATCCTATGCGTATCAGCTATGATGCATACTATTATAAGCTAATTTGACGAACAGTGTAGATGGACATTCACCATAATTCGATGTAACTTTTTTAATGTCTTACTTAATAGTTTCTAACTGAAAGAACAGTTAAGATCGGTTGCTCTGTTGAATTTTAATTCACTGACAATAGAACAAAATAAGCAGAAATATTAAAAAACAACACGCTTATCGACTGACAATAAGATACTTTTTTTTTGAGTGTTTGATACGTTGCCAAAACAAAATATTCACTATAACTAACTCATTTTAAATATTGATTTAATATATTGATGTCAAAAAGCTAGTGAAGTGTACTTACATTAACTTCCACTAATAATACTCGTCAATCATAATGCCCTTAAATGTTTCTCTAGTGACTTTCAAATTTTTAAATGTTAGAATAGATTTCATCACCATTAAAGCTTCCGTGATGATAACAGACTAGGGTGTGGCTGTGAGTGTGTATGTGAGTATTTTTTCCTATCACATCCTCATTCACAGCCGGTGACCGATCACTTCGTCGCACGACACTTCGTCGCATTCACTTCGTCGCACGATCACTTCGTCGCACGATACTTCGTCGCAGAATTTTTTCTTTCTGTTCGTCGCAGATAAATTTCTTTCGTTCTGTTCGTTGCAGAAAAAATTCTTTCCTTATGCTCATCACTATCCATTCGTTGCATATATCTCTTAATTATTTTTTTTTAATGAAAGATGTAAAATCGATGAGTTCGCTCATATTTATTTTGCACAGAATACAAAAAATAATGATGAACAAATTCAAAACAAAAAAAAAGAAAAACCAAAAAAGAAAGAAAAATCAAAAAGAAAATAATCTAAAGAAAAAAAAATAAAGAAAGAAAGTAATTTAAAGAAAAAAAAATACCTAAAGAGTAACATTGGCTGCCATATTTTTTAAGAATTCATCCAGTTGAGATGCGTCGAATCCGTTGACCAGTCGATTAATACGTTCGTCTAATTTTCGATAGCAGGCCTTTTTCGTCTTAATAATGTGACCTTGAAGAATCTTCGCCATGTCCACTTCAAATTTTGATTGTTCACGACGAATTTTCTCCGCCAATTTCACAATATTTGGATGATTTAATGCAACACGGTTAGCAAATGCATTGTGCCAATCTTCCACCGAATTATTGGATCGAGGTATCGTAGCGACGACACGATCATAAACGTTCCATAATTTATGATCGAATTGAGGATTCTTTCGACCAGCTCCTTAAAAAGTTCGGTATATTAGAAATTTTTCAAGAATTGAGAAAAAAATTACCTCTTCTTCTTTTTTCACCAATCCATGTTTTTTCAAAATAATCGAGTAAATCGTCGGCGTCATCGTTGAATTGATCACAAATTAAGGCAAAGCCAGTGATAACTTGATCTAGTGGAACAAAAGCAAGAGCAATTAATTTTTTTACATTTAAGCGAAAATACTCATCCTCATTATATTTGGTTGTTAATCCTTTGCTTTGAACTTGTCGCCATACCGCTTGTGAAAAATGAAAGAGACAACCTATAAAAAAATGTTTCAATTACTTTTTTTATGAATAGATTAGAAAGTACCTTTGTGTAAGACATTTGGCCACATATCTTTCACTGATTTGATTGTGCCAGTTTCGAAATCAGTCATAATTGATTCAGGTTGGAAGTTGTCTTGTACTAAAACTTTTTCGAAAAATAAATTATAATCTTCTGAATTTTTACCAATTAATAACCCACAGACGAGAGGAATAATTGCATTGGTCATCATCGCGTGTAATGTGAAGAGTTGATAATAATCATCAGGACACACCTACATAAAAGAAAATTAGAAAAAAAAAAGAGACACATTTAATTGATAGCCTACTTTGAATGTTCCATCAGCGAACTAATGTTTGTTTTGCTTAAGAATGGATAAATTAGTTTTTGTTGTGAATATAATTAAATTTTTGTCTTCGTGCAAGATGAAATCTTCATCACGATATGTCTTTCTTAATCTTTCTGGTAAACGACCATTAACATCGACTGTTTCAACAGTACGTTGTCGTCTAATCATTAGCATAAGTGCTTCATTTCTTGGAAGTTCACCAGCGGCACTTAATGGATATGTACGTAA